TGGTCTCTCTGCCCACACCACCTCCCTCTCTGTTTAGCCACACTGGTTTCTATCCATGCAATAAATGCATCGCTTGTAAGTGTAATGGGGTGAGGAAGAGAAAGATAGACACGTTTGCCTCCAACCAGACTAAGAAATCCTTCAATATTGATAAATTCATTTGTTGCAACAGTAGGTATGTTGTATACTTATTAGAATGCCCCTGCTCCAAGCAATACATTGGGAGGACAACTAGGCGGCTTAGGGACCGCCTCCGTGAACATGTCAATAACATCAAAAAGGGGTACAAGGAACACTCCCTGTCCCTCCATTATAGGAAACATCATCATAGAGACCCCTCCAGTCTTAGATTTGTTGGCATCGACATAGTAACCGCACATTGGAGAGGAACCTTTAAGACCAGGGCGGTCTCACAGATGGAGACCAAATATATTTTTGAATTGGATACTTTGCACCCCGCAGGCTTGAATGTTGAGCTTGACGTCAATTGCTATATTGATAACAGCTGAACCCACTAGGGCCTATCATATGTTATTGACACTAGAAACCACGCTGACCCTTTTGTGTCAACGGGGGGTTACTGTATATGTTATTTTAACTTTTAATTCCTTTTTTACTACATGTGTATGGTTATCATACATTAAGTGCAACCCCACTATTCACACATCCATTGAGGATGCTTATTAGAACTGGATCATATCCACCCTTTGTTTCTTGTTGTTGTATTTTATGACACATGCCTATGACATCTGTTTTATTGTGTTTGCTGAACATAGGCATGTGTTTTATATATATATATATTTTTTGGTTTATTTACCTTATGTGATAGGTATTTTATATGTTTTATAATGCCAATTTACCATGTTGCTTCGTCCCTCCTTATGTGATTGTTACCTATGTGCAGGGCGTGATACCCCTTCCGGATAACAATTCATATTTTAATTACTAGAGTATTTACGGGACTTATGCATCTATTGGCTCCGTATTTATGACACTTGTTCGTTTATTATTAATTTTATGAGTCCTTGTCCCTGCCAATTCACATTCCATGGGAATTTGTCTAATTCTTCTTTTTATTCCACTTTGGATGTCCCCTGAGGGGGTTCCCCACACAATACCTTCCAATATGCAGCTTTACCACAGCGTATATGACGCCTAGATACTATCATTTTTGTCTCTGTCAGCGCTGGGTATCCTGCCTTTTGGCATATGACAAAATGGTGCCCGCGCATGCGCGGTTGCGCAATACGGACGCCCGGACTCCACTAGTAAGGAGCCGTTGTCTAGATACCGACTTTTATTTCTGCCCATGGTAAAATGGCACCTGCGCATGCGCACTGGTTGATTGCGGACGCCCGGACTTCGGCAAGATGGCGCCGCTCTAGTGCGCATGCGCCAGATACGGTATATACGTTAGAGGAGACAGTCACGGCGGTCCTTGTTCCACCTCTGAAGAAGTGCGTGCGCACGAAACGCGTCAGGTGGACCTAGGACGCCGTTGACACTAAGCCGCCGGTGCCACGAGGAGGCCCGGCGGCCATCTTTAATACCAAGGGGTCAGTGTATTCATCCACACCTGTCTATACCCTATGTTCATTGTGCATTGATGTTTTTCATATTAAAAACCTTACCTACTACACTATGAGTGTTATCCTGTGTCCCCTGTGAGGAGCTTCCTCAACTTTCACAGCCCCAAGGGATTTCCTTATCAACTCCTGTGAAGGGGGAAGGTTTATTCCGTTTGATATCGTTCTGATCTGCTGGATCACTGTTTCACCACAAGAGGGCGTAGGATATCTACCTTTCCTGGCTATTCACTTGACCAGATCTGAGGGGAGAAGGGGACTCCACAGGATATACATACACATGCGTATAATTTTACGCTATCTGGTTAGTGTAAATCCTTACCATTTGCACTAGGATATACGGAGCACCTTTTCTCACTGGACTGTGTTTTATGATCACTTTTTTCAAGCGCTGCATTTTTTATATATATATGTGTGTTTTTTTAACACCACACTTTGTTTTCTTGTGAATGAGTCGCGGGACCATGCCCCCCCTGCCCCAAAGCACCCCCCCCATGTTGAGGGCATGTGGCCTGGTATGGTTCAGAAGGGGGGGCGCTCGCTCATCCCCCCCCCCCCTTTCCTGACCTGCCGGGCTGCATGCTTGGATAAGGGTCTGGTATGGATATTGAAGGGATCCCCACGCTTTTTTTTTTTTTTAAATTTCGGCGTGGAGTTCCCCCTTAATATCCATACCAGACCTGAAGGGCTTGGTAAGGATGAGAGGGGGGACCCATGCTGTTTTTTTTTTTATTGCGGACCTTTATTTTTACATTCAGCTGTCAAAATAAATATTATCTAGACCTTCGAAATAAGTAAAATCATTACAGAAATAATTATAAAGGATAAGAAACAAAAATAGAATCACTAGAACTAAGGAAATCAAATTAGAATACATAAAGATATGCCTAGCACTGTTTGTTAAACACAGTAGACGCGACCGAGTGTCGGCTGTCAGAGGAATCCTTACTGAGATTTACTATTGAGTAGTGGCTAAAAAGCAAGCGCCCACAGAGGACGTCTAAAATGTGTTCTGCACATGTGCATTTATATCGGCCAAAGACACTGCACGGGCGTCTAGTTTTTTACTGTGTTGATTTGCTTTTAAAAAAACATTTTTTAACACATTCTTAATTTTTTTTGAAATGGCAGATATTGTTTAAAGTGAAGTCCTGATATTTGGCAAAGCAAATTTCAAAGTGAACATGTCTCTGCAGTGATTTTTCATGGTGTTAGACATGCCTCTTAGCAAGTCTGCTTTGTGAGTCTGATTCCGGGCGTGTGTCTCGTTAGTAAATTCGATTGGGCGTCTACTTATGGACGCTGCTCAATAGTAAATCTCGTTGCGGGGTAAAAGTAGACGGTCGCTCGTAAAAAATTAGACGTTCGCACACGGAAATGCGCCCAGGCACAATAGTAAATCAGGGCCGTTGTGTCAATCAATACATGACAAATGAGAGGGCTTAAAAAGTATGTAGGAAATAATATAATAAAAATGAATAATAAGCCAGAAAAGGGGGAAAGAATATTTATATATATATTTATGTTCGTCAGTAATATGTGAACCACATAAACGCACATAAGAATCCTATACAATCAGCTATTATCTATAAAGCAATTTATGTCAATATCAATATTATGCCCATGAGGTGACAGAGTTTGCATCCCAAAAGTCCATTTTGTTTCCAGCATTGACACTGCCGTTGTTTGATTTCCTCTCCAATGTGGGCGAATTAAATCGATGCCCATGAATTTCAACAGTATATATTCTTTTCCCCCTTTTCTTGCTTATTATTCATATTTTATAAATTCAACTTTCCCACCTAATGAGCCCTAGAGCTCATTTTATATTATTTCCTACATACTTTTTAAGCCCTCTCATTTGTCATATATTGATTGACACAACGTATCATGAATTTTGAGTACTTTTCTAATTCTTTCTCCCTTTTTATTTTTATATTCATTTTTTTACCATCCTCGTCTTAGGTGTAGGAGAATATTTGGTCAATGATATATATTTTATTAATAATATGATTTTTGTGGTTCCATACGACTGTATTATAAACAGGTTTTGCTAATTTTATATTTATAATTATATTAATTCCTCAATGGTTTATATATCTTTATATTTTCATATTGTACTTTTACTTGTATTGTTTGGAATATTATGATCAGTATTTATTAATTTATTAATATATATGACCGTTAATCATTCAATAATGCTTGGACCCTTTTATTGTTAAAAATAAATGTAATACATATTTTTATGATCATTTAATTCGGATATATATTAATACACATTTATAGAATTTAAAATGATTTAAAAGAACCAAATAAATAAATAATGCAGCACTATAAAATGATAAAAGTGACTGTATGCAAAAGTGAAGCACAAAATGATTTAGCGCTAAAGTGCCCACTGAGTGGTCACTTTAGCACTAAATCATTTCACGCTTCACCTTTGCATACAGTCACTTTTGTCATTTTTATAGTGCTGCATTATTTATTTATTTGGTTCTTTTAAATGGTTTCTGTGTTTGTGCACTTATTGTCACATGCCTGATGAAGGCGTCCTGCGTGACTCCGAAACATTGCTTTGCTGTAACTATGTGACTGCGAATAAAAGCTTCGAACCCTAAATGGAGATCCACGGTGTGCTGGTGACATTTATTTTGCTCTGACTTTCTCGGTTCCAGCTGACGGTCGCTGCAGCACCCATCTACACATACAGCCATCTTGTGACGCAGGAACGTGTGTGTTGAGATTTCTCAAAATTTCGCCCATCAGTAATAGGACACACTTTCCACTTACTACTGCGAGTAGTACTTCCACACTAGCATCCCATTTTATACCTGTAAAATTAAAGCCCTGGTCTGACTTTAACACCCCTTGTATATTGTCCAAGGTGTAATCCTCCAGAATTACAGTCTTCAAAATGCTCATCCAGTGAAAAAAACTTCAAACAACTTGTGACTCAAAATTTCTTCTTTATGGAACCACAAAACAAGTGAACAAAATACTCAAAATCATGATCAAAAGCATTCACCCACACTTATACTCAAAATCATGAACAAGTGTTTAACAACAACTTGACATTTGACACAAGTGAACAAAATACTCATCATGATCAAAAGCATTCACCCACACTTATATATATGCATGCCTTACACATTGACATCCAAGCCACAAAAGATCTCACACAGCATGGTTATCTCCAAATACAGTATCATACAGCTCGCAGTGTCTCCAAGTTTAGTCTATCTAGTGTTTAACCGCCTCCCGCCCACCATATAGTAAAATGATGGACGCAAGGCGGTTCTCTCGTTCTAACCGCACATACGCGGCTCCGGGAGCACGCAGCACGGCAATCGGCGGTGCACTGTGTCCCTCGGATGTTTTTGGATGTTTTTTTTTCCACTATATTGCCAAAGGTATTGGGACACCCCTCCAAATCATTGGATTCAGGTGTTTCAATCACCCTTCATGGCCACAGGTATAAAAAATCAAGCACCTAGGCATGCAGACTGCTTCTATAAACATTTGTGAAAAAATGGGTCACTCTCCACTCTCAGGAGCTTAGTGAATTCAAGCATGGTACCAGGATAGCTTGCAACCTGTGCAATAAGTCCATTCGTGAAATTTCCTGGCTACTAAATATTCCACATGCAACTGTTAGTGGTGTTATAGCAAAGTGGAAGCAACTGGGAACAGCAACAGGCCACGTAAAATGACAGAGCGGGGTCAGTGCATGCACAGAAGTCACCAAGGCCCTGATTTACTATTGTGCCTGGGCGCATTTCCGTGGGCGAACGTCTAATTTTTACGAGCGACCGTCTACTTTTAAAAACGTTGAAATTTGCTTTGCCAAATATCAGGACTTCACTTTAAACAATATCTGCCATTTCAAAAAAAATTAAGAATGTGTTAAAAATAGTTTTTTTAAAGCAAATCAACACAGAAAAAAAACTAGACGCCCGTGCAGTGTCTTTGGCCAATATAAATGCGCATATGCAGAACACATTTTAGACATCCTCTGTGGACACTTGCTTTTTAGCCACTGCTCAATAGTAAATCTCAGTGTGGATTCCTCTGACAGCCGGGACTCGGTCACGTCTACCGTGTTTAACAAACTAACCTATTTAAGAACTGTCAGCGAGCCCTTTTTTCAGACGGCTGGAAGCCTCCGACGGGACCGGACCTTTTTTTTTTTTCTTTTTTCGGGTCGCCTCCGCCGCCGTGATTGACGTTGGATCTACTTCGGGGGACATTGTTTTAATAAAGCACTTGTCAAAGACCCTGTACTGTGGTTTTTTTTACACCACACTTTATTTTTTTTTGAATGAGTTGTGGGACCATGTACCGCAGACTCATTCACGTAAGGGGGCGGGATCTGGGGGCCCCCTTGTTAAAGGGGGCTTCCAGATTCTTATAAGCCCCTCGCCCGCAGACCCCCACAACCACCAGCCAGGGTTGTGGGGAAGAGGCCTTTGTCCCCATCAACATGGGGACAAGGTGCTTTGGGGGGGAGCCCCCCTGCCCCAAAGCACCCCCCCATGTTGAGGGCATGTGGCCTGGTATGGTTCAGGAGGGGGGGTGCTCGCTCGTCCCCCCCCCTTTCCTGACCTGCCGGGCTGCATGCTCGGATAAGGGTCTGGTGTGGATATTGGGGGGTACTCCACGCTGTTTTTTTTTTTTTCTATTTTCGGCATGGAGTTACCCCTTAATATCCATACCAGACCCAAAGGGCTTGGTATGGATGGGAGGGGGGACCCCACGCAGTTTTTTTTATTATTTATTTAATTCACGGAAATAATTTAAAATTCAGCTGTCAGTGGGAAACCCCGATGACAGCTGAAACATTCCTTCTGTCCCTGCAGAGAGCTCCGCTATTATATTTGACATTAGAAAGTATAGAAACTGCAACATTGTATCTATTTGTATCCATTTCGGATATAGATGTTTTTATTCGGATACATATAGATACAATGTTGCAACCTTTAAACTTTTTAATGTCAAATATAATAGCGCAGCTCTCTGCAGGGACAGAAGTAATTACGTCGCTATTATATTTGCCGGCCGTGGACGGGGTGAAAATCTTGACAATTTTTTTTTACCATTGGTGGTAACGTCGGCCCATTGAACAACCGGTTTTTTCGTTTTTTTTTTTTTTTTTTAAATGGTCAGTTTTCGCCCCATCTATGGCCTGCATTTTTCTTTTTCTTATTCTTTTTTTTATTCTTCTTTTTAATTTTCTTATTCTTTTTCTTGCAGGTCATGGCTCATGCGCAGATTTTTTATCTGTAAAAAAGATCAGCCAATTTGCCGATCTTTTTATCCATATTTACCGATTAAAAAAAGTGGCAAAATCCCAAAAAATGGCTGACCAGTTAACCCACTAACGGCCCGAAAATCAGCCGATTTTTTTTTCGGCCGATTTTAGACCCATCTAAAGCAGGCCATAGATGGGTCTAAAATCGACCGATTTTTCTGCCGAAAAAAAAATCGAACGATCTTCGGGCCATTAGGGGGTTAATTGGTTGGCCATTTGTCGGGATTTTGGCACATTTTTTTTATCAGTAAATTTGGAAAAACAAAAATGTCCAACTTTACTGATAAACAAAATATGCTAAAATCCCGAAAAATGGCCGACCAATTATCTCACTAACGGAAGAGGCCCTTGTCCCCATTAACATGAGGACAAGGTGCTTTGGGGGGGAGCCCCCCCCTGCCCCAAAGCACCCCCCCATGTTGAGGGCATGTGGCCTGGTATGGTTCAGGAGGGGGGGCGCGCTCGCTCCCCCCCCTTTCCTTACCTGCTGGGCTGCATGCTCGGATAAGGGTCTGGTATGGATTTTGGGGGGATCCCCAAGCTGTTTTTTATTTAATTTCAGCGTGGAGTTACCCCTTAATATCCATACCAGACCCGAAGGGCTTGGTGTGGATGGGAGGGGGGACCCCATGCCGTTTTTTATTTATTATGGTGCTGGTTTTTAAATGTAATTTTCCCTTTCTTTTTCTTCACTATAGCTCAGAAATTCACCTGTCACTTCCCCCAGCTAAAAGAGAAAGTTTTCTTGGAATTTATATCCCTAAAGGAAACAATGTTTACTTTGAGTTTATTAAAAGATACAAAGTTTTCTGTAACTTTGGGAAAAGTGACTTCTAAGCTTGTAAACTATAGTGAAAAAAAAAAAGTCTGGCATTTGCATTTGAAAATCAGTGCTGACATACACTTTGTAATGCAAAAAAAAATTATTAACAATTGTGTAAACCGAGGCATTATTTTCAATAGATTTTCATTCGTAAACCGAAAATTACGTTAACCGAGGCGTTGGTAAACTGAGGTACGCCTGTATTAGTATTGCAATCCTTTGTATTGGGATACATAGAACCAACATACATCTAAATTGGCAACATAGCACAACATTTGTGTCGCATTTGAGATATCTGGCTAGTTACACTGACCTTGCCCAGGGACCTATGATTGATTCACACCACAGAAATACAGGCAGGATTACCGTTCAACAGCTCCGTGGATTAGTGGTTAGCACTACTGTCTCACAAGGCTAGGGTTGTTGGTTTGAATCCCAACCACAGCAATGAATTTGCATGATCTCCGTGTGACTACCCTAACATACAAGTGCTGGTGGCAGCATCTTTGCTTTCTGTTTAAATGATCTCTAGAATGTGAATTAGAATGAGGCCTTGTCTGTTCAAACATCTTTTAAAGTAGCACCTTATGTGAATGTCAAACGATGGGATGAGATAAGGGCCTGGACTAATGATTGATTGGATAATGCTGGTTTGCACTCCACCTCCTTTTGGGAAAGTTTGTCAAACCATGAGAAGAGTGAGCGAAAGAAATGGATTAAAAAAAAAAAATAATAATAATGGCATGGAGTCCCGCCCCCCCCCCCCCCCCCTCAAATTCATAACAGACCCTTATCTGAGCATGCAGATACCGCATGCCTTCAAAGATTTATTTCCTTTGTTGAATTGCCTGCTTGATTCACACTAGATGTGATTTAAAATTGTGCTTTTTGTTGGCAATTTCACCGTGTTTTCTGTAGATTTACCAATGAGGTATTGCGTTTTCAATTGTGTTTTGCATTGCGATTTCTATTGTAGTAGTCTATATGTGAAATCGCTACAAAATGCTGAAAAAGTTAGACGAGAACTACTTTTGAAATTGTGCTGCAGCAAATCGCTTACATTTAGACGCTCCACATTAATTAGATCGGATATAAGGTACAATTTCAATTCCCAAATCGCACCTGAAATCATGCACCCTGGATGCGACTTGGCATGCAATTTGCATGGCATGCGACTTGCAAATCGTATGCCAAGTCACACCCTATTGTCTGCTATTAGAGCAGTCACATGGGTGCGTTTCCGACACTGATTTCTAAAGTAGTACATGTACTACTTTTGTGACGATTTGCATAGATATCTGTGTCAGATGTCTTGCAAATCGTAAGGAAATCATCATCTTCACTGTACGTCGCACAATTTCTAAATCGGCTTTGATGTGACCGCGGTGTAAGGCCTTTTTATATTTGATTTCCTGAGTGTTTTTCCGATTTATGGGAAATGCCGCATACTAGCAAAAGTGAATTGACATTTTCAGTATTGCATGAGAGATGTGGTCATGTGACTGCCTTAACTCATACGATAATCTGGAGTGAATTGTGCCCATAGGGCCAAGAAATATTGCCAATAGGGTTCCCTTTCACATCCCTGTTCAATGTTCTGTTGTATGCTGCACAGGTACACGTCACTGTGGCTTTCTTTCTGACTCTGATTGTGTGGGGCCTGTATACCAAGGGTTAACGCAGGTGGGAAGAGAATTAATCAGGTGCAAACACTTTCTCTGACCAAATGAATGACAGTGGTGGGTGTGGCCTACCTTATATAATGGCATGCAGTTGTAGCTGATTTTTGCCTGGTACAGGCACATTATTTCTGCATTTCCTTGTCTGTGGTGGTTTGGGGAGGAAGAGATATTGTGGTGAATTGCCCCAGGCCACACTCACGCTGTGTTTTGATGTGGGCTGTAAGTGTTTTGCATGTTCTTCCTTCTAAGGTGTGTTTGTGTGTTATTGTACAATGATTGTGTTTATTACCTTTGCATTGTAATCCTAAACACATGACCATTGCTCTACCCTTCCAAGTTTGCTTTATTTAGAATGAAATGCAGTTTTCAGACAACCATGGTGAGAAATGTATGTGTGGGGGATTTGGGGAGGTGGGAGGTGTTTTTATTTTGGCACGTATGTATTTTTATATTGATATTTCGATCTGCAGCTTTTGTGAATAAGCCCAAGTGATTCATATTAACCATTTGTTTCCTGCTGTAACCTGTGAAAGCACAGTTCATTATAAGTATAATCTTTTAGATTGTAAGCTCTTATGAGCAGGACCGTTCTATTTTAGCAACATCAATCCTGCTTTTTTTTTTTTCACACCAAGATATTGAATGTAGCTTTTTGTTGC